CCTCTCCCCTGCCCACCCCCCTCTCGCCTTGCTGCATGTCCTCCAGAGCCTGAAGCAGAGCAGGATGTGATCATGGTGCTGAAGTTCCCCTCCAACTCCCCTGTGACCCACGTAGCTGCCAACACCCTGCCCCACCTCTCTGTCCCTGCTGCTGTCACCGTCACCTGCAGCAGACTGTTCGCTGTCAACCGCTGGCACAACACCGTCGGTGAGTAGGGGGGAGTGGGGGAAGTGTGTGTGTGAGAGAGAGAGAGAGATACAGCGCATTCAGAAAGTATTCAGACCCCTTGACTTTTTTCACATTTTGTTACGTTACAGCCTTATTCTAAAATGGATTTAAAAAAAAGTATCATCATCAATCAACACACAATACCCCATAATGACAAAGCGAAAACAGTTTTTTTGACATTTTAGACAAATGTATAAAAATCTGAAATACCTTATCTACATAAGTATTCAAACCCTTTTCTATGAGACTCGAAAATGAGCTCAGGTGCATCCTGTTTCCATTGATCATCCTTGAGATGTTTCTACAACTTGATTGGACTCCACCTGTGGTAAATTCAATTGATTGGACATGATTTGGAAAGGCACACACCTGTCTATATAAGATCCCACAGTTGACAGTGCATGTCAGAGCAAAAATCAAGCCATGAGGTCGAAGGAATTGTCCGTAGAGCTCTGAGACAGGATTATGTCGACGCACAGATCTGGGGAAAGGTACCAAAAAAAAATGTCTGCAGCATTGAAGGTTCCCAAGAACACAGTGGCTTCCATCATTCTTAAATGGAAGAAGTTTGGAACCACCAAGACTCTTCCTAGAGATGGCCACCGGGCCAAACTGAGCAATCGGGGGAGAAGGGCCTTGGTCAGGGAGGTGACCAAGAACCCGATGGTCACTCTGACAGAGCTCCAGAGTTCCTCTGTGGTGATGGGAGAACCTTCCAGAAGGACAACCATCTCTGCAGCACTCCACCAATCAGGCCTTTATGGTAGAGTGGCCAGACGGAAGCCACTCCTCAGTAAAAGGCACATGACAGCCCACTTGGAGTTTGCACCTAAAGGACTCTCAGACCATGAGAAACAAGATTCTCTGGTCTGATGAAACCAAGGTTGAACTCTTTGGCCTGAATGCCAAGCGTCACGTCTGGAGGAAACCTGGCACCATCCCTACGGTGAAGCATGGTGGTGGCAGCATCATGCTGTGGGGATGGTTTTCAGTGGCAGGGACTGGGAGACTAGTCAGGATCAAGGGAAAGATGAACTGAACAAAGTACAGAGAGATCCTTGATGAAAACCTGCTCCAGAGCGCTCAGTAAATGTGATATTTCCATTTATTTATTTTGAATAAATTTGCAAAATTTCTAAAAACCTGTTTTTGCTTTGTCATTATGGGGTAGTGTGTGTAGATTGATGAGGGGAAAAAACGATGTAATCCATTTTAGAATAAGGCTGTAATGTAACAAAATGTGGAAAAAGTCAAGGGGTCTGAATACTTTCCGAAGGCATTGAGTGTATGTACGTGTGTTATTTTTATGGATGACGTAACCATGCACTGTGTGTTCTCAGGTCTCCGTGGTGCTCCAGGTTACTCCTTAGAACAGGCTCATCACCTGCCCATTGAGATGGACCCTCTCATAGGTCAGAACACACAAACACACGACTGACACACATCTGCCTTGGTCATGTGATACTCTGGTGGTCACAGTTTTGGTAACACTTTTTGCCTAAATTAGAGTCCATAGGTTGTTAGGCTTCAGATCATATACCATATATATATATATATATATATATATATATATATATATATATTAATGTTGTTATTTTGTATGTGTCTGTGTGTGTGTGTGTGAGTGTGTGTTAGCCAACAACTCTGGTGTGAGTAAGCGTCAGATCACAGACCTTGTGGACCAGAGCATCCAGATCAACACACACTGCTTCGTGGTTACCGCTGACAACCGCTACATCCTGGTCTGTGGCTTCTGGGACAAGAGCTTCAGAGTCTACTCCACTGAGACAGGTACACTATCATAGTACTACTACAATACTACTACAATACTACTATAGTACTACTACAATACTACTATAATACTACTATAGTACTACTATACTATATACTATCTATACTGGGACTTCAGAGTCTACTCCACTGAGACAGGTACACTATCATAGTACTACTACAATACTACTACAATACTACTATAGTACTACTACAATACTACTATAATACTACTATAGTACTACTATACTATATACTATCTATACTGGGACTTCAGAGTCTACTCCACTGAGACAGGTAACACTATCATAGTACTACTACAATACTACTATAGTACTAATATACTATATACTCTCTATACTGGGACTTCAGAGTCTATCCACTGAGACAGGTACATGCCACAATACTACTAGAATACTACTATAGTACTACTATAGTACTACTATACTATATACTATCTATACTGGGACTTCAGAGTCTACTCCACTGAGACAGGTAACACTATCATAGTACTACTACAATACTACTATAGTACTACTATACTATATACTATCTATACTGGGACTTCAGAGTCTACTCCACTGAGACAGGTATTACAAATACAAGAAACAATACTATGCCACACTACGTCACTATTCATTTCTTTCTACCTGAGTGAGAGATATAATACAGTTTGGCTCATTATGTCAAAACTCAACACACCAGCCAATCAGACATAAGCACAACTCACATATATGACAAAATGAAACACTGCAATCAAAACTTAACACTCCTTTCTAAAAATGAAATTCTTGCAACAAAACCATACACACAAGCAACATTTGAATGACTCTTTCATATCAGCAGCAACACACTGATGGGCTTTATATAAAACACTGCAGTCTTTGAGTTTCTGTTTTTATTGTCATTTTATTGTCATTGTCTTCTGTAAAACTCAAAAGGAGAATTTCTGCAGTAATCAAACAGTTTTTACAACCAAAAAAAAACATTCTTACAGAAATTATTAACATCAAATTTAGCAACAAAACAAAAGTAAAAAAAAAAAAAACCATTACTGGATAAATTGGAGGAAAAAACATATACTTATGTGTGTGTGCGTGTGCGTGTGTGTGGTGGGGGGCGGGGGGGGGGCTTATGGATCACGCCTTCTGTTCGGATCTGGCCACAAGACCTCGTCAACATCACAGGCGATGTCCTCGCGGGCCTTGTGTGCCGAATCCACCCTTGGATTGATTCCACCTCAACGTCTCCACATGCCTCTTCCATTGCTTGCAGAAGAGTCATTACATTTACATTTACATTTTAGTCATTTAGCAGACGCTCTTAACCAGAGCGACTTACAGGAGCAATTAGGGTTAAGTGCCTTGCTCAAGGGCACATTAACGTCATTTAGCAGACGCTCTTAGCCAGAGCGACTCACAAATGCGGGCATGTGGTTGCCGATCATATACTTTCCACCGCCACGCTGAAAATAATTCCTCGATTGCATTTAGAAAAGGGCTGTAAGGGGGCAGGTATAAAACTGTGAAATGATTATGGTTGTTGAACCAATCTCGGACCAGAGCAGCCCGGTGGAAACTAACATTATCCCAGATGACAACAAACCTGGGCTGCTGTGATCTGTCCTGCACAACTGCATGTAGTGCATCTAGAAATGCAATGATCTGTCCTGTATTGTAGGGACCTAGAGTGGCATGATGATGCAGGACTCCTTGGACACTAATTGCAGCACACAAGGTGATATCTTCCCCCACGCTGCCCAGGGACATTTACAACAGCCCTTTGTCCAACTACGTTACGGCCCCCGATGCCTAGTTTCGGACAGATTGAAGCCTGCCTCATCCACGTAGATGAACTCATGCGGCAGTTCGGCGGCATCAAACTCCAGAACTGTCTGTAACAGAAAATATTGAATAGTGTTACTGAAAACACATGCAGTAACTACAATGTCTATATTTTCACACAAGTAGGAGCTGGGTTGGGTGAGTCTAGACAAAAACTACAAGCTACAGGCAGGGCAGGTGGCAGCATAAACCCTCATTCCCACATCACAATATATAGTATGTAAAGTAAAGTGACACATACAGTGGGGAAAAAAAGTATTTAGTCAGCCACCAATTGTGCAAGTTCTCCCACTTAAAAAGACGAGAGAGGCCTTTAATTTTCATCATAGGTACACGTCAACTATGACAGACAAAATGAGAGAAAATTTTTCCTGAAAATCACATTGTAGGATTTTTTATGAATTTATTTGCAAATTATGGCGGAAAATAAGTATTTGGTCAATAACAAAAGTTTCTCAATACTTTGTTATATACCCTTTGTTGGCAATGACACAGGTCAAACGTTTTCTGTAAGTCTTCACAAGGTTTTCACACACTGTTGCAGGTATTTTGACCCATTCCTCCATGCAGATCTCCTCTAGAGCAGTGATGTTTTGGGGCTGTCAACTTTCAACTCCCTCCAAAGATTTTCTATGGGGTTGAGATCTGGGGACTGGCTAGGCCACTCCAGGACCTTGAAATGCTTCTTTCGAAGCCACTCCTTCGTTGCCCGGGCGGTGTGTTTGGGATCATTGTCATGCTGAAAGACCCAGCCACGTTTCATCTTCAATGCCCTTGCTGATGGAAGGAGGTTTTCACTCAAAATCTCACGATACATGGCCCCATTCATTATTTCCTTTACACGGATCAGTCGTCCTGGTCCCTTTGCAGAAAAACACCCCCAAAGCATGATGTTTCCACCCCTATGCTTCACAGTAGGTATGGTGTTCTTTGGATGCAACTCAGCATTCTTTGTCCTCCAAACACGATGAGTTGAGTTTTTACCAAAAAGTTATATTTTGGTTTCATCTGACCATATGACATTCTCCCAATCCTCTTCTGGATCATCCAAATGCACTCTAGCAAACTTCAGACGGGCCTGGACATGTACTGGCTTAAGCAGGGGGACACGTCTGGCACTGCAGGATTTGAGTCCCTGGCAGCGTAGTTTGTTACTGATGGTAGGCTTTGTTACTTTGGTCCCAGCTATCTGCAGGTCATTCACTAGGTCCCCCCGTGTGGTTCTGGGATTTTTGCTCACTGTTCTTGTGATCATTTTGACCCCACGGGGTGAGATCTTGCGTGGAGCCCCAGATCGAGGGAGATTATCAGTGGTCTTGTATGTCTTCCATTTCCTAATAATTGCTCCCACAGTTGATTTCTTCAAACCAAGCTGCTTACCTATTGCAGATTCAGTCTTCCCAGCCTGGTGCAGGTCTACAATTTTGTTTCTGGTGTCCTTTGACAGCTCTTTGGTCTTGGCCATAGTGGAGTTTGGAGTGTGACTGTTTGAGGTTGTGGACAGGTGTCTTTTATACTGATAACAAGTTCAAACAGGTGCCATTAATACAGGTAACGAGTGGAGGACAGAGGAGCCTCTTAAAGAAGAAGTTACAGGTCTGTGAGAGCCAGAAATCTTGCTTGTTTGTAGGTGACCAAATACTTATTTCCCACCATAATTTGCAAATAAATTCATAAAAAATCCTACAATGTGATTTTCTTGATTTTTTTCCCCTCAATTTGTCTGTCATAGTTGACGTGTACCTATGATGAAAATTACAGGCCTCTCTCATCTTTTTAAGTGGGAGAACTTGCACAATTGGTGGCTGACTAAATACTTTTTTCCCCCACTGTACCTGCACATAATCGTGGCGCAGATCCTTGACCCTGACACTGTTCCTCTCAAAAGGCACCCCTGTACAGCTGCTTCATTCTGAAGTTATGTTTCTGTAGGACGCGACTTAGTGTAGAAATGCTGACCCCTGTTGATATTGTTGAATTCATTGCCATTTGCAATTATGCGTTGTTGCAACTCACAAAGTCGGATTGCATTATTTTCTCGCACCATTTTCAATGATGGCAAGCTCTTGTTGTTGAGTGAAGAGCCGTTTCCCTTCCACCTTGAGGAGGTCGTCCAACCATTCTGTAGAAAATGCCACCACAAGATGTCATTGGTTAGGTTATTTTTCACATGCTGTACTTTCAAACTGAACACAGTACTGCAACATCACAATGGTATTCCTTTAAATATACAGTACTTCACAGCACTACCCATTTTTCTATAGTATAGTTAGTACAGTAATACTGTAATATGATACAGAATCATGTGACACATACAGTAGGTACAGTCTGGAGTAGAAACTTGAAGATATACCTGTTCTCCAGTCGGAATGTCCTTATTATCGATGCTACTGTGTAGCGACTGAGGTTAGGGTGGACTCTTTGCCCAGCCTCCCTCATGGACAGGCCATGATCTATCACATGGTCCACCATAGTAGCCCTGATTTCATCTGATATACGTCTCCGCACTGGTCCTCGTCCTCTTCCACGTCCTCGTCCTCTCTCTCTTTGTCCTCCTCTTACTCTGACTCTCATTGCCTCCATGCTTGCAAAGTTCTAAAAATGGCTTACCTGAGGCCTATTTGTAGTGCTAAGGCTCAGACTGATTGGTGTTCTGTTTTCTGTGCAAGTGTTTTCAGGTGTGTATGTAAGTGCATACAATTGCCAGATGAGTTTTTGCATTTTGAACAGAGTGTTTTCCCCAATGATAACAGGTGATTTCGTTTTTGAACAAAGTGTCTAATGTAAGAAAACGTGTGTAGTGTTTCGCAATAAGTGTGTTACAGAATTGCAAACAAAGTGCAAAGTTGACATTGTGTTTAAGCTATGGTTACACTGTGTTTAAGGTATGGTTACACTGTGTTTAAGGTATGGTTACACTGTGTTTAAGCTATGGTTACACTGTGTTTAAGCTATGGTTACACTGTGTTTAAGCTATGGTTACACTGTGTTTAAGCTATGGTTACGCTGTGTTTAAGGTATGGTTACACTGTGTTTAAGCTATGGTTACACTGTGTTTAAGCTATGGTTACACTGTGTTTAAGGTATGGTTACACTGTGTTTAAGGTATGGTTACACTGTGTTTAAGCTATGGTTACATTGTGTTTAAGGTATGGTTACACTGTGTTTAAGGTATGGTTACACTGTGTTTAAGCTATGGTTACATTGTGTTTAAGGTATGGTTACACTGTGTTTAAGGTATGGTTACACTGTGTTTAAGGTATGGTTACACTGTGTTTACGGTATGGTTACACTGTGTTTAAGCTATGGTTACATTGTGTTTAAGGTATGGTTACACTGTGTTTAAGGTATGGTTACACTGTGTTTAATATGGTTACACTGTGTTTAAGCTATGGTTACACTGTGTTTAAGGTATGGTTACACTGTGTTTAAGCTATGGTTACACTGTGTTTACGGTATGCTACAAGACGTTTAGGTATTGAGGCTTTGGTCTAAGCATTCGGTTTTAGTGTGTAACAATGGGCAAAAACTGTATTACTACTTTACTACTACAATACCTCTACATTATTCCTCAATACGTCTACATTATTCCTCAATACGTCTACATTATTCCTCAATACGTCTACATTATTCCTCAATACGTCTATATTATTCCTCAATACTTCTACATTATTCCTCGATACGTCTACATTATTCCTCAATACGTCTACATTATTCCTCGATACGTCTACATTATTCCTCAATACTTCTACATTATTCCTCGATACGTCTACATTATTCCTCAATACGTCTACATTATTCCTCAATACGTCTACATTATTCCTCAATACGTCTACATTATTCCTCGATACGTCTACATTATTCCTCGATACGTCTACATTATTCCTCAATACGTCTACATTATTCCTCAATACGTCTACATTATTCCTCAATAAGTCTACATTATTCCTCAATACTTCTACATTATTCCTCGATACCTCTACATTATTCCTCAATAAGTCTACATTATTCCTCGATACCTCTACATTATTCCTCAATACGTCTACATTATTCCTCGATACGTCTACATTATTCCTCAATACCTCTACATTATTCCTCAATATGTCTACATTATTCCTCAATACGTCTACATTATTCCTCAATATGTCTACATTATTCCTCAATACGTCTACATTATTCCTCAATACGTCTACATTATTCCTCGATACGTCTACATTATTCCTCAATATGTCTACATTATTCCTCAATACGTCTACATTATTCCTCGATACGTCTACATTATTCCTCGATACGTCTACATTATTCCTCAATACGTCTACATTATTCCTCAATACGTCTACATTATTCCTCGATACGTCTACATTATTCCTCAATACGTCTACATTATTCCTCAATACGTCTGCATTATTCCTCAATACGTCTAAATTATTCCTCTATACGTCTACATTATTCCTCGATACGTCTACATTATTCCTCAATACGTCTACATTATTCCTCAATAAGTCTACATTATTCCTCAATACTTCTACATTATTCCTCGATACCTCTACATTATTCCTCAATACGTCTACATTATTCCTCGATACCTCTACATTATTCCTCAATACGTCTACATTATTCCTCGATACGTCTACATTATTCCTCAATACCTCTACATTATTCCTCAATATGTCTACATTATTCCTCAATACGTCTACATTATTCCTCAATATGTCTACATTATTCCTCAATACGTCTACATTATTCCTCAATACGTCTACATTATTCCTCGATACGTCTACATTATTCCTCAATATGTCTACATTATTCCTCAATACGTCTACATTATTCCTTGATACGTCTACATTATTCCTCGATACGTCTACATTATTCCTCAATACGTCTACATTATTCCTCAATACGTCTACATTATTCCTCGATACGTCTACATTATTCCTCAATACGTCTACATTATTCCTCAATACGTCTGCATTATTCCTCAATACGTCTAAATTATTCCTCTATACGTCTACATTATTCCTCAATACGTCTACATTATTCCTCAATACGTCTACATTATTCCTCAATACGACGACATTATTCCTCAATACGTCGACATTATTCCTCAATACGTCGACATTATTCCTCAATACGTCTACATTATTCCTCAATACGTCGACATTATTCCTCAATACGTCTACATTATTCCTCAATACGTCTACATTATTCCTCAATACGTCTACATTATTCCTCAATACGTCGACATTATTCCTCAATACGTCTACATTATTCCTCAATACGTCTACATTATTCCTCAATACGTCTACATTATTCCTCAATACGTCTACATTATTCCTCAATACGTCGACATTATTCCTCAATACGTCTACATTATTCCTCAATAGTCGACATTATTCCTCAATACGTCTACATTATTCCTCAATACGTCTACATTATTCCTCAATACGTCTACATTATTCCTCAATACGTCGACATTATTCCTCAATACGTCTACATTATTCCTCAATACATCTACATTATTCCTCAATACGTCTACATTATTCCTCAATACGTCTACATTATTCCTCAATACGTCTACATTATTCCTCAATACCTCTACATTATTCCTCAATAAGTCTACATTATTCCTCAATACGTCTACATTATTCCTCACCCTCCTCCCTGTAGGTAAGTTGACCCAGATAGTGTTTGGGCACTGGGACGTGGTGACGTGCCTGGCCCGGTCAGAGAGCTACATCGGAGGGGACTGCTACATCGTGTCAGGGTCCAGAGACGCTACCCTGCTGCTGTGGTACTGGAGTGGACGACATCACATCATCGGAGACAACCCCAACAACAGTAAGTCTGTGTTTGTTTGGAGGGGGGGGGGGGGGGGTTGTGTGGTACATAACAAGATACTTCATCTAAGAGGTGAAAGGGAGAGCATACCACCTACATGTCCTGTCCTTTTTTCAATATTATCTGCACATTAATCTCTTGCCTTTACAATAATCTCCAATGATCATTTTGAACTCCCTGTACAGATACTTTTCCTGTTTTTAATCATCTGCTCTTTGTGTGTCACATTCTATTTAAAGTGTATTTAACAACAAAGCCTCAAGACTTTACTTTACAGAAAACATTTAAATTAATAAATATGTTTCCTAGGTGACTACCCTGCTCCGAGAGCTGTGCTGACGGGTCATGACCATGAGGTGGTGTGTGTGTCCGTTTGCGCTGAGCTGGGACTGGTCATCAGTGGGGCCAAAGGTCAGTGTGTGTGTGTGAGTCTGTGTTTGTTTGTGTGTGTGCGTGCGCGTACATGCCAGTGTGTATGTGTGTTTCTAAATCTCCATCTCTCCCTTCCCTCCCTCCCCTCCCGCCCCCCACCTTCCTCCAGAGGGTCCATGCCTGGTCCATACTATAACAGGGGACCTGCTGCGGGCCCTGGAGGGCCCAGAGTTGTGCCTGAGGCCCCGCCTCATCTCTGTGTCCAGTGAAGGCCACTGTATCATCTGTTATGAGAGAGGACGCTTCTGTAACTTCAGCATCAACGGGAAACTACTGGCTCAAATGGAGGTCAACGACTCTACACGGGTAAGAGCACAGATACAGTATATATATTCTATATTATATCAGTAATATATATTATATCAGTATCATATATTATATATTATATCAGTATTATATATTATATCAGTATTATATATTATATCAGTAGTATATATTCTATATTATGTCAGTATTATATATTATATATTATATCAGTATTATATATTATATCTGTATATTATATCTGTAGTATATATTATATCAGTATCATGTATTATATATTTTATCAGTATTATGTATTATATCAGTATTATATATTACAGTGCCTTTCGGAAAGTATTCAGACCCCTTGACTTTTTTCATATTTTGTTATTTAAAGTAAAAAACTGAAATATACATTTACATAAGTATTCAGACCATTTACTCAATACTTTGTTGAAGACCCTTCGGCAGCGATTACAGCATTGAGTCTTCTTGGGTATGACGCTACAAGCTTGGCACACCTGTATTTGGGGAGTTTCTCCCATTCTTCTCTGCAGATTCTTTCAAGCTCTGTCAGGTTGGATGGGGAGCGTTGCTGCACAGCTATTTTCAGGTCTCCAGAGATGTTCGATTGGGTTCAAGTCCGGGCTCTGGCTGGGCCACTCAAGGACATTCATGGCTGTGTGCTTAGGGTCGTTGTCCTGTTGCAAGGTGAACCTTCACCCCAGTCTGAGGTCCTGAGCGCTCTGGAGCAGGTTTTCATCAAGGATCTCTCTGTACGTTGCTCCATTCATCTTTGCCTCAATCCTGACTAATCTCCCAGTCTCTTCTGCTGAAAAACATCCCTACAGCATGATGCTGCCACCACCATGCTTCATGTATGGTGCCAGGTTTCCTCCAGACGTGACGCTTGGCATTCAGGCCAAAGAATTCAATCTTGATTTCATCAGAACAGAGAATCTTGTTTCTCATGGTCTGAGAGTCTTTAGGTGCCTTTTGGCAAACTCCAAGCGGGCTGTCATGTGCCTTTTACTGAGGAGTGGCTTTCGTCTGGCCACTCTACCATAAAGGCCTGATTGGTGGAGAGCTGCAGAGATGGTTGTCCTTCTCCACAGAGGAACTCTAGAGCTCTGTCAGTGACCATCGGGTTCTTGGTCACCTCCCTGACCAAGGCCCTTCTCCCCCGATTGCTCAGTTTGGCCGGGCGGCCAGCACAAGGAGGAGTCTTGGTGGTTCCAAACTTTTTCCATTTAAGAATTATGGAGGCCACTGTGTTCTTGGGGACCTTCAATGCTGCCCTTCCCCAGATCTGTGCCTCCACACAATCCTGTCTCGGAGATCTATGGACAATTCCTTCGACCTCATGGCTTGGTTTTTGCTCTGACATGCACTGTCAACTGTGGGACCTTATACAGTGAGGGAAAAAAGTATTTGATCCCCTGCTGATTTTGTACGTTTGCCCACTGAGAAAGACATGATCAGTCTATAATTTTAATGGTAGGTTTATTTGAACAGTGAGAGACAGAATAACAACAAAATAATCCAGAAAAACGCATGTCAAAAATGTTATAAATTGATTTGCATTTTAATGAGGAAAATAAGTATTTGACCCCTCTGCAAAACATTACTTAATACTTGGTGGCAAAACCCTTGTTGGCAATCACAGAGGTCAGACGTTTCTTGTAGTTGGCCACCAGGTTTGCACACATCTCAGGAGGGATTTTGTCCCACTCCTCTTTGCAGATCTTCTCCAAGTCATTAAGGTTTCGAGGCTGACGTTTGGCAACTCGAACCTTCAGCTCACTCCACAGATTTTCTATGGGATTAAGGTCTGGAGACTGGCTAGGCCACTCCAGGACCTTAATGTGCTTCTTCTTGAGCCACTCCTTTGTTGCCTTGGCCGTGTGTTTTGGGTCATTATCATGCTGGAATACCCATTTTCAATGCCCTGGCTGAGGGAAGGAGGTTCTCACCCAAGATTTGACGGTACATGGCCCCGTCCATCGTCCCTTTGATTTGGTGAAGTTGTCCTGTCCCCTTAGCAGAAAAACAACCCCAAAGCATAATGTTTCCACCTCCATGTTTGACGGTGGGGATGGTGTTCTTGGGGTCATAGGCAGCATTCCTCCTCCTCCAAACACGGAGAGTTGAGTTGATGCCAAAGAGCTCGGTTTTGGTCTCATCTGACCACAACACTTTCACCCAGTTCTCCTCTGAATCATTTTGATGTTCATTGGCAAACTTCAGACGGGCCTGTATATGTGCTTTCTTGAGCAGGGGGACCTTGCGAGCGCTGCAGGATTTCAGTCCTTCAAGGCGTAGTGTGTTACCAATTGTTTTCTTGGTGACTATGGTTCCAGCTGCCCTGAGATCATTGACAAGATCCTCCCGTGTAGTTCTGGGCTGATTCCTCACCGTTCTCATGATCATTGCAACTCCACGAGGTGAGATCTTGCATGGAGCCCCAGGCCAAGGGAGATTGACAGTTATTTTGTGTTTCTTCCATTTGCAATTAATCGCACCAACTGTTGTCACCTTCTCACCAAGCTGCTTGGCGATGGTCTTGTAGCCCATTCCAGCCTTGTGTATGTCTACAATCTTGTCCCTGACATCCTTGGAGAGCTCTTTGGTCTTGGCCATGGTGGAGAGTTTGGAATCTGATTGATTGATTGCTTCTGTGGACAGGTGTCTTTTATACAGGTAACAAGCTGAGATTAGGAGCACTCCCTTTAAGAGTGTGCTCCTAATCTCAGCTCATTACCTGTATAAAAGACACCTGGGAGCCAGAAATCTTTCTGATTGAGAGGGGGTCAAATACTTATTTCCCTCATTAAAATGCAAATCAATTTATAACATTTTTGACATCCGTTTTTCTGGATTTTGTTGTTGTTATTCTGTCTCTCACTGTTCAAATAAACCTACCATTAAAATTATAGACTGATCATGTCTTTGTCAGTGGGCAAACGTACGAAATCAGCAGGGGATCAAATACTTTTTTCCCTCACTGTATAGACAGTTGTGTGCCTTTCTAAATAATGTCCAATCAATTGAATTTACCACAGGTGGACTCCAATCAAGTTGTAGAAACATCTCAAGGATGATCAATTGTGTGCAGATTGCTGAGGACTTTTATTTATTTAATCAATTTTAGAATAAGGCTGTAACTTAACAAAATGTGGAAAAAGTCAAGAGGTCTGAATACTTTCCGAAGGCACTGTATATCGGTATTATATATCATATCAGTATTATAAACTATATCAGTATCATATATTATATATTATATCAGTATTATATATTATCTCAGTGTTATATATTATATATTATATCAGTGGTATACAGTTGAAGTCAGAAGTTTACATAAACTTAGGTTGGAATCATTAAAACTTGTTTTTCAACAACTCCACAAATTTCTTGTTAACAAACTATAGTTTTGGCAAGTCGGTTAGGACATCTACTTTGTGCATAACACAAGTAATTTTTCCAACAATTGTTTACAGACAGATTATTTCACTTATAATTCACTGTATCACAATTCCAGTGGGTCAGAAGTTACACTAAATTGACTGTGCCTTTAAACAGCTTGGGAAAATCCAGAATATGATGTCATGGTTTTAGAAGCTTCTGATAGGCTAATTGACATCATTTGAGTCAATTGGAGGTGTACCTGTGGATGTATTTCAAGGCCTACCTTCAAACTCAGTGCCTCTTTGCTTGACATCATGGGAAAATCAAAAGAAATCAGCCAAGACCTCAGAAAAACAATTGTAGACTTCCACAAGTCTGGTTCATCCTTGGGAACATTTCCAAATGCCTGAAGTTACCACTTTCATCTGTACAAACAATAGTACGCAAGTATAAACACCATGGGACCATGCAGCCGTGATACCGCTCAGGAAGGAGACGTGTTCTGTCTCCTAGAGATGAATGTACTTTGGTGTGAAAAGTGCAAATCAATCCCAGAACAACAGCAAAGGACTTGTGAAGATGCTGGACGAAACAGGTGCAAAAGTATCTACATCCACAGTAAAACGAGTTCTATATCGACATAACCTGAAAGGCCGCTCAGCAAGGAAGAAGCCACTGCTCCAAAACTGCCATAAAAAAGCCAGACTACGGTTTGCAACTGCACATGGGGACAAAGATCGTACTTTTTTGAGAAATGTCCTCTGGTCTGATGAAACAAAAATAGAACTGTTTGGCCATTGTGACCATCGTTATCTTTGGAGGAAAAAGTGGGTTGCTTGCAAGCCGAAGAACACCATCCCAACCGTGAAGCACGGGGGTGGCAGCATCATGCTGTGGGGGTGCTTTGCTGCAGGAGGGACTGGTGCACTTCACAAAATAGATGGCATCATGAGGAAGGAAAATTATATGGATATATTGAAGCAACATCTCAAGACATCAGTCAGGAAGTTAAAGCTTGGTTGCAAATGGGGACTTCCAAATGGACAATGCATACTTCCAAAGTTGTGGCAAAATGACTTAAGGACAACAAAGTCAAGGTATTGGAGTGGCCATCACAAAGCCCTGACCTCAATCCTATAGAAAATGTGTGGGCAGAACTGAAAAAGCGTGTGCGAGCAAGGAGGCCTACAAACCTGACTCAGTTACACCAGCTCTGTCAGGAGGAATGGGCCAAAATTCACTCAACTTATTGTGGGAAGCTTGTGGAAGGCTACCCAAAACGTTTGACCCAAGTTAAACAATTTAAAGGCAATACTACCAAATACTAATTGAGTGTATGTAAACTTCTGACCCACTGGGAATGTGATGAAAGAAATAAAAGCTGAAATAAATAATTATCTTTACTATTTATCTTACATTTCACATTCTTAAAATAAAGTGGTGATCCTAACTGACCTAAGACAGGGAATTTTTACTAGGATTAAATGTCAGGAATTGTGAAAAACTGAGTTTAAATGTATTTGGCTAAGGTGTTTGTAAAATTCAGACTTCAACTGTATATTATGTATTATATCAGTATCATATATTATATTAGTATTTTATATTATATCAGTATTATATATTATATCAGGGTTATATCAGTATTATATATTATATCAGTATTATACATTATATTAGTATTATATATTATATTATATCAGTATTATATATTATATCAGTATTATATCAGTATTATATCAGTATTATATATTATAAACTACTGGCTCAGAGGCCAACGACTCTACACTCTTAGAAGAAAAGGTGCTAAGTATAACTATACAGGGTTCTTCGGTTTGTCCCCATAGGGGAACCCTTTTTGGTGCTGGATAGAACCCTTTGCAGAGAGTTCTACCTAGAACCCTCTATGTAGGGTTCTTCAAAGAACCCCCTGTAAATGGTTCTACCTAGAACCCTCTATGAACGGTTCCACCAGCCTTATTAGCCTTTAACATTTTGATTTATTTTATTTTATGATGATTTATGATTTATGACAATACATTACATACTGTATATCATAAGGCCTTTATTTGAGGGCCTAGTTATACCTTAAAACTGTGGTGTTAGGAAACTCCTGGTTTACAGGCCACATCAGGCCTTCAAGTCACATTATGCTGGCATGCAAAGTGATGTTTAAGTTAGGATATCCAACAAGTGTACACATGCTGGGATATATTATATATGGCTCTATGTAGAACCCTTTTTGCCTTCCAAAGAACCCTTCTTGCCTTCCAAAGAACCCTTATTGCCTTCCAAGGAACCCTTCTTGCCTTCCAAAGAACCCTTATTGCCTTCCAAAGAACCCTTCTTGCCTTCCAAAAAACCCTTATTGCCTTCCAAAGAACCCTTATTGCCTTCCAAAGAACCCTTATTGCCTTCCAAAGAACCCTTATTGCCTTCCAAATAACCCTTATTGCCTTCCAAAGAACCCTTCTTGCCTTCCAAAGAACCCTTATTGCCTTCCAAAGAACCCTTATTGCCTTCCAAAGAACCCTTATTGCCTTCCAAATAACCCTTATTGCCTTCCAAAGAACCCTTATTGCCTTCCAAAGAACCCTTATTGCCTTCCAAAGAACCCTTCTTGCCTTCCAAAGAACCCTTATTGCCTTCCAAAGAACCCTTATTGCCTTCCAAATAATCATCAAAGAACCCTTTCTTCCAAATACGGTTCTTAGAATGTTAAAGGTTCTAGGTAGAACCCTTTGCCTTACAAAGAACCCTTGTCTTCCAAAAAGGGTTCTTCTGATCAAAAGACTTCTTGGTAGAACCCTATCCCTCCACAAAGAACCCTTTTGGAACCCTTTTTCTAAGACTGTAGCTGAGTAAGAGTTTATATTAAATGTAGCTGAGTAAGAGTTTATATTAAATGTAGCTGAATAAGAGTTTATATTAAATGTAGCTGAATAAGAGTTTATAATAAATGTAGCTGAATAAGAGTTTATATTAAATGTAGCTGGGTAAGAGTTTATATTAAATGTAGCTGAATAAGAGTTTATATTAAATGTAGCTGAATAAGAGTTTATATTAAATGTAGCTGAATAACAGTTTATATTAAATGTAGCTGGGTAGGAGTTTGTATTAAATGTAGCTGAATAAGAGTTTATATTAAATGTAGCTGGGTAAGAGTTTATAATAAATGTAGCTGAATAAGAGTTTATATTAAATGTAGCTGGGTAAGAGTTTATAATAAATGTAGCTGAATAAGAGTTTATATTAAATGTAGCTGAATAAGAGTTTATATTAAATGTAGCTGAATAAGAGTTTATAATAAATGTAGCTGAATAAGAGTTTATATTAAATGTAGATGAATAAGAGTTTATATTAAATGTAGCTGAATAAGAGTTTATATTAAATGTAGCTGAATAAGAGTTTATATTAAATGTAGCTGAATAAGAGTTTATAATAAATGTAGCTGAATAAGAGTTTATAATAAATGTAGCTGAATAAGAGTTTATATTAAATGTAGCTGGGTAAGAGTTTATATTAAATGTAGCTGAATAAGAGTTTATATTAAATGTAGCTGAATAAGAGTTTATATTAAATGTAGCTGAATAAGAGTTTATAATAAATGTAGCTGAATAAGAGTTTATAATAAATGTAGCTGAATAAGAGTTTATATTAAATGTAGCTGAATAAGAGTTTATAATAAATGTAGCTGAATAAGAGTTTATATTAAATGTAGCTGGGTAGGAGTTTATATTAAATGTAGCTGAATAAGAGTTTATATTAAATGTAGCTGAATAAGAGTTTATAATAAATGTAGCTGAATAAGAGTTTATATTAAATGTAGCTGAATAAGAGTTTATATTAAATGTAGCTGAATAAGAGTGTATAATAAATGTAGCTGGGTAAGAGTTTATAATAAATGTAGCTGAGTAAGAGTTTATAATAAATGTAGCTGGGTAGGAGTTTATATTAAATGTAGCTGAATAAGAGTTTATATTAAATGACACATCTTGTACATAATCCTTATAAGGATCCATTCTTCCCACAGGCACATGAATGCACACACGTGCGTAGACACATACAAACACAAACACACACACACGTACAAACTAATCCACGTTTGCTTGCGGGTTCATACCTTTCTCATTCAGTCTCTCTCTCTCTGTCTCTTTCTCTCTGTCTCTCTCTCTCTCTGTCTCTCTCTCTCGGTCTCTCTCTCTCTCTCTGTCTCTCTCTCGCTCGATCTGTTTGCTCTGTCGCCTTCTTAGTGTAGACCTCTCTCTCTGCCTATATCTCTCTGTCTCTCTGCTCTCTCTCTCGTCTTCTGTCTCGGTCTCTTCTCGTAACACTCTCTCTGTGTCTACTTCTTTCTCTCTCTCTGCTTTCTCTCTCTCTGTCGCTCTCCTCTCCTCGCTCTCTTTAATCTCTCTCTCCTCTCTCTCGCTCTCTCTCTGTGTGCTCGCTCGCTCTCTCTCTGTCTCTCTCTCTCGCTCTCTCTTTAATCTCTCTCTTGTCTCTGTCTCTCTCTGTCTCTGTCCTCTCTCTCTTCCTCCTGTCGTCTCGTCTCTCTCTCTCTCTGTCTCTGTCTTCTCTCTCTCTGTCCCTCTCTGTCTCTCCTCTCTCTCTTCTCGCTCTCTTTATCTCTCTGCTTCTCTCTCTCTCTCTCCTCTGTCTCTGTCTCTCTCTGTCTATGTCTCCTCTTCTCTCTCTCTCTCCTCGTCTCTCTTCTCATCTCTCTCTCGCTTCTCTCTCTCTCCTCCTCTGTCCTCTCTCTCTCTCTGTCCCTTCCCCGCTCCAGGCGATCATGTTTTGAGATAGGGTATGGTCAGAACCTGGTGACAGGAGGAGACAACGGGGTGGTGGAGGTGTGGCAGGCCTGTGACTTCAAACAGCTCTACATCTACCCAGGGTGTGACGCTGGCATCCGCGCCATGGACCTGTCCCATGACCAGAGGTGGGTAGGACATCAGTCCTTTGGTGTTTCTGTTCTGATCCAGACTGGCATTGTCATGCTGGTCTGTAGTGGTCTGATGTGGTCTCTTCCTTATGTATATTTATGTGGTCATCTGAAGCTCAGTTGGTAGAGCATGGCGTTTGCCACGCCAGGATAGTTGGTTTCGATTCCCGGGACCACCCATACGTAAAATGTATGCACGCATGGATAAAAGCATCTGTTAAATATATTATGGTCTGACGTGGTCTCTCTGTCTGTCTTCAGGACTCTGATCACTGGCATGGCGTCTGGCAGCATCGTAGCTTTCAACATCGACTTCAACCGCTGGCACTACGAACACCAGAACAGGTACTGAGGAGAAGAGGACAAAAGAGAGAGAGAGGAGGACAAGCACGAGATGAGGAAAGAGAGAGCGAGAGCGAAAGAGAGAGGAGGAAGGTGAAAGGTCAAGCTGTAAACAACAACTACAGAAAGAAATGTTTAAAAGGATGAGAGGTTGGAAAGCCACTAAATCTCTACTTCCTGTGATGATGTCACTTGAGAAGGAGGAGAGAGTGCCCATCACAGCTACTGTAGGACATCTTCTCTGCCAATGAACTAAGATCAAGTAAGGAGAAGATCAAATCTATTGCTAGACTTTGACTGGGGTTGAACAGGCCCGTATAGGACTTTTAATGTGTGAGAACATTCACTGTTAATGGACAGAACGCTCATCGCTTCACTGGACAAAGTAACAAACTAAAATGGGTTTTTGTTGCTTTGGTGTAGTTCTTTTATGTTTTTTTTTATTTATCTTTTGTTTATAGGAGGTTTTAAAGGGTGGGAGATGGGGTCCAGGCTACCACAGAAAGTTGAAACTGGTCTAAACTGAATTGAACAGGTTTAAAACAGGACTGAACTGGTTTAAACTGGACTGAACTGGTTTAAACCTGGATTGAGCTGGTCTGAAGCTGTACTTCCCATTGAAGAAAACAGGTGCTGTTGGCTTAAACTCAGATCGGGTTTATTCTGTAAATTATATATATTTTTGTTTCATATTATTTTGTTTTCTTTTGATTTAATGTCTTTGGTTTGATTTATTTTATTTTCCGTTAATTTATTTTTGTTTTATAATATTTTTTACTACCAGGAGGGTGAATATGATTTCTGTAAATACTGTTCTGTTTCCTTTTTCTATGATTGACAAACAGGAAGATATTACAGTCCTCACTCCCATCACCATACAGACCATGCCTATCACCTTTAATTTATTAATGACTTGCTGTGTAATAATAGTGATGACGATGGCAATGATGATGACTGTGATGATGATGACTGTGATGATGATGACTGATGATGATGACTGATGGTAGAGGTGGTGGTGATAACGACGAAGAGGTGTTTGCCAACGCCATCAGGCGATGACATCTACCGGATAAGCCTGATTTTCTTTGTATATTTGGTGATTGTTTTGTCAAATATGTACATATAGTCTTGGTTTCGGGCTACGGTGGACAGACGGCCGGACAGAGAGTTTAATCAACCGAATAAGACAGATAACGTAAAAAGGAAACCTTCACTCACTCACTCACATTTGTCGATTATTTAAAGAAAATAGAAAAATAAGAATTGAATCGGTGTCAAACGTTTCGTTTTTGTATTCACACTTTGCACCAATCACATATAATTATTTATTAGCCTGATGATTATTTCCTGTCACATGACTGTTTCGTTTTTTCGGGCCATTTTTTATTCTGCGGGATTATTTGTGCATTGATGTTTGTATTTAAAGACGATGAAATCACGTGTGATTTATTAATAAAGAAGACCTCACAGCTGTAAGCAATATCATGAGTCTGTAGCCCTGAGAGAGGGAAGGAGGAGAGAGAGGGGGAAGAGGAAGAGGGGAGGAAGCGAGGAGAGAGGGGGGAGAGGGAGGGAAGGAGAGAAGAGGGTAAGGAGGAGAAAGGGATGGGAGGAGAGAGCGAGGGAAGAGGAGAAGGAAGAGATGAGGGGAGGCGGGGAGGAAGAGGGGAGAGGGAGGAGAGGAGAGAGGGGAGGAAGAGGAGAGAGAGGGGGAAGGAGGAGAGAGGGAGGGAAGGAGGAGAGAGGGAGGGAAGAGGAGAGGGAGGGAGGGGAGAGAGAGGGGGAGGAAGGAGGAGGAAGGGGGGAGAGGGGGGGGGGAGGAGAGGGGGGGAAGGAGGGGAGAGAGAGAGGGGGAGGAGGAGAGAGAGGGAGGGGAGGAGGAGAGAGAGAGAGGGAGGAGGGAGAGGAGGGGGAGGGGAGGGGGGAAGAGAGAGAGGGGGAAGGAGGGAGAAAAGGGGAGGGGGAGGAGGGAGGAGAGAGAGGGAAGGAGGAGAGAGAGGGGAAGGAGGAAGGGGGGGAGGGGAGGAGAGAGAGGGAGGAAGGAGGAGGAGAAGGGAGGAGGGGGAGAGAGAGGGGGAAGGAGGGAGAGAGAGGGAGGAGGGAGAGAGAGGGGAGGAGGGGAAAGAGAGGGGGAAGGAGGAGAGGGGGGAGGGGAGAGAGAGGGGAAAGGGAAAGGAGAGGAAAAGGAGGAGAGAGGGGGGAAGGAGGGGAGAGGGGAGGGAAGGAAGGAAAAGAGAGAGGGGGAGAAAAAGGAAGGAGGGGAAAAAGAGGGGGGAGGAGGGGAGAGAGAGGGAGGAGGAGAGAGAGAGGGAGGAGGAGAGAGAGAGGGAAGGAGGAGAGAGAGGGAATGAGGAGAGAGAGGGGGAGGAGGGGAGAGAGAGAGAGGGAAGGAGGAGAGAGAGAGAGAGGGAGGAGGAGAGAGAGAGAGGGAAGGAGGAGAGAGAGGGAATGAGGAGAGAGAGGGAGAGAGGGAGGAAAGACAGAGGGAGGAGGAGAGGGAATAAAGGAGGAAGGTCAAACGCGAGATGTACTGTTAGTGTGTGTTAAGCCATCTCGATCAAATACATGCACACATACTCCAACAACAGGTTCAACATCCCAAAAAAAGTGAAATATTTTTGGATCTATGAAATCCTAAAAAAATAACTATTGTATTCATGTTTTATTGCAAAGATGTAAAATATGACCATGTGTGAGTTGAAAGTTGGAAAAAAATCAAGAAAATAAAAATAAAATATGCAAAGAATTTGATGATCTGCCTTTTCATTTGTAAAAATATAAATTATTGTCATCATGCTTATCATGTAAACAAAATAAAACATTTCATTTTGTTGGCATTTTATTCTGTAAATATGGGTCAGTGTAAGCAAATGATTGGGCAGTACAGCAATTATTTTTATTACCTCATACTCATCCCTTTATCTGTTAACCTTTGGTAAGGAATTTATGTTTGGGATTTTCCAAGGAGTGATCAGTGTTTCATTACGGCAGTAAATGGATTCATGGCTGGACAACTGAGACAACTTCCAACAAGAAACGTTGAAGAGATTTTGTTTGCCTGTATGTTGAACTTGTTGGCGTGTATGTAGAACTTGTTGGATAAAGGTGGTATGAAGGTTTCATTAAGCTTTAAACATTGTTCTTAAATCTTTCCTCATTTAAAGTGTAGCGAAGTAGTATACGGACGTTTAAGCAATGAAGGAAAAGGGTCTCACAAACCACAAAAACCCTTCACTGAAACAATGAAACCCCTCGTGGGAACAACCTCACTCCTTGATATTGTTATTCTGGGCATTTTTTTTGTTGATTATTTGTTTGGTTGTTTTATATATAGTGTCTTGATTTTAAAAAGTGACACTAAATGCTTTAATTTGGGTGTCTGTATTTTCTTTTACTGACTTTGTGAAATCTGGAGAATATGGAGGGGAACTGAAGGCAGCTAATTGTACAGTAAGAAGGGTGGATTGCATTTACACTGCCTTCAGAAAGTATTCATACCCCTTATGTTTTAACATTTAAGTCATTTAGCAGACGCTCTTATCCAGAGCGACTTACAAATTGGTGCATTCAACTTAGGATAGCCAGTGGGACAACCACCACTGGGGGAGGGGGGTGGGGTGGGGGGGGGGGGGGGTGTAGAAGGATTACTGTTATACTATTCCAGGTATTCCTTAAAGAGGTAGGGTTTCAAGTGTCTCCGGAAGGTGGTCAGTGACTCCGCTGTCCTGGCGTCGTGGGGGAGCTTGTTCCACCATTGGGGTGCCAGAGCAGCGAATAGTTTTGACTGGGCTGAGCGGGAACTGTGCTTCCATAGAGGTAGGTGGGCTAGCAGGCCAGAGGTGGATGAATGTAGTGCCCTCGTTTGGGTGTAGGATCAGAGCCTGAAGGTAAGGAGGTGCCGTTATGACGTTGGAGCCACCGGAGGCAGAGGATGACTTTGTGAACGCGTGTGGTGGTGATGAGGAAGGGAATGCTTTCTTGGTGCAACGGTCCCACGGTGAGGGTGAGTGGTGCTGTGATGTGCGTGATAGTGCCGGATCCCAATGGTCGATTATCCAGGGGCTTGGAACCGGAAAAGGAGAGCGGGTACGAAGTGATGTTCAGGGAGGAGACGAGGGACTGGTCGATGAAATTCCCTGCGGCACAGGAGTCCACTGGGGCTGTAGAGACAACACCTGAGGAACAGTCAGCCAGTGAAATAGGAAACCAGAAAGGGTTTGGCGGAAAACGATGAAGGAGGAATACTCACGCCTACCCTGGGAGACGGAGCCAGCCATCACAGGGCCGTCCCTCTGCCCTAGTGGACCTCGGGTTGGGACGCATCGGACACCACTGGAGCTGCTGGCCGCAATAGGAACACAGCCCCAGCCGTCTCCGGCAACGCCGCTCTGCCGCGGAGAGGTGTGTGACCCATATCTCCATGGGTTCAGGCTCTGCCTCGGGACGGCCAAAAGAGGAGGGCGAGGGGCGAGGTGCCGGCGCTCCTGAAGGAAGTTGTCCAGTCGGATGGCCATCGCGATGAACACGTCCAAGGAAAGGTTGTCATCCCGGCACGCCAACTCCGTCTGGACCTACTTGCGCAGTCCTCCACGGAATAGGGTGCAGAGCGCGGGTTCATTCCATCCGCTGGAGGCTGCCACGGTCCGGAAGGTGAGGGTGTACTCCGTTGCGGTCTAGTTACCCTGCCGGAGTTGGAATAGTCGCTCCCCTCCCTCTCTGCCCTCCGCTGGATGGTCGAAGACCAACCCGAACAGAGCCATTAACCTCTCGTAGGAACCCAACTCTTCCTCTCCTCTCTCCCAGACGGCTGTAGCCCACTCCAATGCCCGCTCGGTCAGTAGTGAAAAGACCGTGGCAAACGAGAGTTTTCATTTGAAATACGTTTGTGTATTAACCATAAAATCAGTTGCACAGTGCCTCTCTGTCACGATCGTCTAAAACAGGAGACCAAGGCGCAGCGTTGCGAGTGAACATGATGACTTTAATTAGACAAGCACGTCAATACAAAAC